CCCGCTTCCGGGGAGCCGCGTGCCCTGCCCCCGCTTCCGGGGAGCCGCGTGCCCTGCTCCCGCTTCCTGGCAGGCTGCACGGGCTCAGCATCCAGCTGTGTGTTCATCACGGCGCTCTTGGCCCCGTTCCTGACGGCGATTTCTCTGGTTACTCATTTTTGACCCTGTGTGAATCGACAGCTTCTCTATTACGTTTGTGAAGCATCCATCTGTTTGTGTTACTTTTGTTTTTCTTTGTTAATGTTTTATTTTGAGACAGAGCCTCACTGTGCTGCCAGGCTGGAGTGCAGTGGTGAGGTCTCGGCTCACTGCAGCCTCTGCCTCCCGGGTTCAGGTGATTCCCCTGCCTCGTCCTCCCAAGTAGCTGGGACGACAGGAGACACGCAGCTTATTTTTAGTGGAGACGGCGTTTTGCCATGTTGCCCAAGCTGGTCTTGAACTCCTGGCCTCAAGTGATCTGCCCTCCTTGGCGTTCCAAAATGCTGGGATTACAGGTGTGAGCCCCTGTGTCTGGCCTGTTGATGTAGTTTCCTGAGGGTTTTTTTTTTTTTTAAATCAGAAATAAATGTCAGATTTTACCAAATGGTTTTCAGGTTACTTTTTTCCCCTTTGATAAGCTGATGTTGAGTTAAAATAGTAGATTGCCAGGTGTCGCACCATCCTTATATTCCTGTCATTCACCCTGTGCGAGGTGGCACTGTGGGCAGGGTGGTGCCCTCTTACCCGGCCGGTGACCCCTGTGTTCCAGTGTCTCTCTGAGGGATTGTGAAGGAGCTCTCGGATGAGGGCCTGGGCCTGAGGTCTGGATGGGGAGTGCTGCGTGTGGGGAGCTGCTGTGGGGTGTGTCAGAGTAGCCCTGGGTGTGGCCAGCAAGGCTCAGGTAAGGGAGAGGGGCCAGGAGCCCCTGAGTAGTCCCTCCTGATGGGGCCCTGTTTCCCTCCCTAACTCAGAGCAGCGACATGCCCTTCGATGAGCTGCTTGCACTCTATGGCTACGAGGCCTCAGACCCCATCTCAGAGCAGGAGAGCGAGGGTGGCGACGTGGCTCCCAACCTCCCGGACATGACCCTGGACAAGGTGAGTGAGTGCCCTTCCTGGAACTGGCCCCAGCAGAGGTGCAGGGACCGGGGCTGCCTCTCAGCAGGGGGCGTTCAGTGAGAGGAGCACAAAGGCCCCCAGAACAAGTCAAATGTGGCCACCTGTACCACTCTGCCAGGGTTGGAATGGCCGTGGGCATGAGGCTGGACCCTGGCCTTAACCCCAGGCCACGTGTCCTTCTGGCGTGGGCGGGTGGAGGGGCAGTCGGGGCCTGTCCTGGAGAAGTGCACCTGGGAAGGCAGAGGAACCATGACCTGGCCACCTCCCCAGGACTGGGCTCTCTGACATCAGGTACCCAGAGGTCACCGCTCGAGGGCTGGGCGTTTGGAGCAGGGGAAGGCTGCATTGCAGAAGGTTAACACCACATGCACGTCCGAGAAAGAGCCACGTGCTCTGGGCGGTGCCCAGTGGTGGCTCTGACTGTTCCCAGCTCTGGTGGCTGGGTGTGAGCTCCCCCGCGCTGTGCACCCTCTGGTGCCTCCAGCTCCTTACCTGTGTAATGGGAATAGCACCCCACGTGTCCAGTTCCACCCCCGCTTCCCTCCCCCCAACACTGTGCACCCTCGGCCACCTCCGGTTCCTTTTCTGCAGAATGGGCATAGGCCCCGCGTGAGCCTCAGGGAGCCCCCAGTGTCTTCGCTGTTGTTATCATTAGTGTTATCCTGAGACTGCTAAACTGTAAAACGTTCTTTACTTTTTTGTTAAAAGGAACAAATAGCGAAGGATTTGCTTTCAGGGGAAGAAGAGGAAGAGACGCAGCCATCTGCTGACGACCTCACCCCGTCCGTGACCTCCCACGAGGCCTCCGACCTCTTCCCAAACCAGAGTGGATGTAGGTGACTCTGTTCCAGTCCTCTCCCGAGCCCAGGCCCTGGGCCAGCAGGGGTGATGCTGAGAAGGGTCCTGGGGCTGGTGCGGGCCAAGAACGTATCACAGATGAGGGGGTCTGCCTGGTGGGAAGCGTTGGTAGCCCCGGGGGTGCCTTGTTCTGCCCCATCCTGGCCAGTGAGCAGGGACTCTCGGAGTGATTCGGTTTAAACAAGCGGGGAATGTGTTGGTTCCCGTAGCAGATCTAGAGGCAGCATCCCCATGGCCGTCCTCCCCCACAAGCCTGTGCGCTGGCTTTCCTGGGAGCTGAGGGCTGGGGCCCAGCGGTGCAGCAGCCACGTGGAAGGGAAGGGAAGGGAAGGCCTCTTTCTTCAGAGTGCACCCCGGGTCCTGGGTTCTGTGCCCATCCACGTCCCAGTGTCTGGCCAGGGAGGGCGTCACAGCCTGGGGATCAGGTGGATGGAGAGTGGGAGTGGAGGGTCTTTGCCCGAATAAGGGGCCGTGCAGGCTGCCGGCAGTGGAGACCCTGGGGGACCTGCCTCCGTTTTCCCAAAGCTCGTTTCCTGGCTGATGAAGTCAAAGAGCCTGGCTCTTCTGCCTCCTCCGACACCGAGGAGGACTCCCTTCCTGCCAACAAATGTAAGAAGGTACGTGGCTCTGCTTCTCCCCAACCTCGTATCGACCACAGTCACCACAGCGGGGTCCTGCGGAGCCCTCTCCCTGGGCATGTGCCCCTTCTCAGAGGAGGGATATGCTGCTCAACCCCGGGGTGGGCCGGGACTGGAGCCCCGGCTCCTGCTGCTGACCGAGTGTTTCTCCTCTGACATCCTGTCTGGGCCTGCCAGGCCAGTGTCAGGGCACTGCCTCCCCTCACACACCCAGGCCTCTGCCTCCCATCCTCAGACCCCAGAACTCGCATCAGCAGGTCGATGGCACACGTGGGCCTGGGGTCTGAATGGCGGCACCTCCACCCGAGCCAGCCACAGGACGTGGCAGCCAGCCTCCCTCCTGTGCCGGACGCTCCCTCAGTGTCCTGATTCCAGGCCCTTGTTTGCAGGAGATCATGGTGGGACCTCAGTTCCAAGCTGACCTCAGCAGCCTGCACTGGAACCGGCACTGTGAGAAGAGTAAGTGGGGCCCGGGGCGGGGAACTCACTTCTGCAGGGGAGGGGCCCGTTTGGACGGCAGATCGTTGGGCAGTCTGAGGGGCCCAGCCTGGTCAGGTGCCCGCCCTTTGTGGCTTGCTGGGCAGCCGAGCCTGTGGCTGCAGGAAGTGGAGGTTCTCTTGACTGCGGTGGGCCTGTCGATGCCTGCCCCTGCCCACTCTGCCCAGCTCTGTCCGTCTCTTGGGGTCTGCTCCTGTCAACCCGTGCAGCCAGACCCTCAGCAGTCCATCCTGCCCCGCCCTTGACTCCAGCCACCTCCCCCCAGCCAGGGCCACTGCCTTCGCCAGCTCTCTGCCCCGAGGTGCCTCCTCAGGAGCCCCAGGTCAGACGGGCTCTCCGGAGAGACCTGCTGGGTGTCGTGCGGCTTCCCCTGCCTGGCTCCCAGCCTCTGCAGGGCACTCCCTGTCCTGGACCCGATCTTCGTCTTTTTCCCACTGGAGTTCAGAGCCAGGCTGCTCTGGCCCCTTCCAGGCATGGACTCAGGTGCTCACTGACTTGGGTCTTGTCTTTCCCTGGAGCCCTTGGAGGCCCTGGGCCAGTGCTCCCAGCTCAGGAGCCTTCTCCAAGGTGATTCCATGGCTGGGATGGACGCGTGTGAGAGGAGGACGGAGGCAGGCAGGGGCAGCCAAGCTGGGACATCCAGAAGGCAGGGTCAGAGGGGACACGGGACCCTCACCCAGAAAAGGCACCTGCAGTCACACTCTAGGTGGAGCCCTGGCCTCGGAGCCTGTCGTCAGGGCCCTTTCCCAGCCCTGACTCACCCCATGAGGGTGCCCTGTCCTCGGCAGCCAGCACACTTCAGCCACGGGATGCCGCCGGCCACTCCCACGCTGTGTGACGTCTGTGCCGTGGGAGCCTTCTGCGGGCTGGTGTCTCACGTATTTCGCTGTGGTGCTTGGTTTGGGCGCCACGTTTGCCACCCCTCCTGCCGTGGGCTGCTGTCACGGTTGGGTTCGTTTGTGGGCCGTGAATGCGCTCGTGCCTGGTTCGTGGATAGAGCGCTCAGTCCTCGATGGACAGCAGGGAGTCGCACGGTAGGTGTGTGCTGGGGTCACACGTGCTGCCCACGTTTCTCAGTCGTGGTTTGTGGGAGTCGCTCACGTTCTCAGCGTTTGACCCCGAGGGTGAACTTGCCTGAGTTGAGATGGACTCTTGTCGCGTTGTGTCTTTCATTGGCATTTCCCTGGAGAGTGTGCTCGCCACTTGGATATTCTCTTTGTGCGTGCCCAAAGCTTTCCCCGTTTCTGACTTGGGTGGTCTTTCTCTCTGATTTGTGGAGTGACTTACACATTCTGGAAGCGAGTCCTCTGTGGGCTTTGAGCACTGCTGCTGTGTGCTCCAGTTTGTGGCTTGCCCGTTGACTCTCTTGGTGGTGTCTTCAGTAAAGCCCAGCTTACCGATCTTCATTTTAAAAGTAACGTGTTTGTGTCCTGTTTAAGAGTCGTTGCTTGCCTTCAGGCTCTTGAAGGTACTCTTCCAGGTTTCATTCTAGAAGCTTTATTGTTTCCCTTTCACATTTAAGGCCGTGATCCAACTTAATTTAAATTTTGGTGTATGGTGGAGAAGGCTGTGGCTCACCCTGTAATCACGGCACTCTGGGAGGCCGACGCAGGTGGATCACTTGAGGTCGGGAGTTTGCGACCAGCGTGTCCAACATGGTGGCACCCTGTCTCTACCACAAATACAAAAATTAGCCAGGCATGATGGCGCTCGCCTGGAGTCCCAGATACACGGGCGGCTGAGGCAGGAGAATCGCTTGAACCACAAGGCGGAGGTTGCAGTGAGCTGAGATTGCGCCACTGCACTCCAGCGTGGGCCACAGAGCAAGACTCCATCTCAGAAAAATAAAAAAATAAATGAATTTTGGTGTATGGTGCTAGATGGTATGAAGCGTGGGTTAGGGAACTGTTTTCCCATACGGATATGCAGTTGCTCCAGCACCACACATTGAAAAGTCCGTGGCCAGGCGCCGCGGCTCTGTCTCCAAAAGAAAAAAAAAGCCCATTCTCCCCCACTGAGTTGCAGCAACACCTTTGTGATAAATCAAGTGTCTGTACACTGTCTCCCTTCTCTCACCCTGAGTCATGCCACACTGTCGCAATTGTTCCACGTTACACGTGAGTCCGAGGCTTTGTAAGTTTTCCTTGTATGTATATAAGTTTAAGAGTAAAATTATTTTTTCGGCAACTGACAGGTTTTATTATTTATTTATTTATTTTAGAGACAGAGTTTCACTCTTGTTGCCCAGGCTGGAATGCAATGGCGCAATCTCAGCTCACCGTGACCTGCACCTCCCGGGTTCAAGTGGTTCTCCTGCCTCAGCCTCCTGAGTAGCTGGGATTTCAGGCATGCGCCACCACGCCCGGCTAATTATTTTTTATTTTTAGCAGAATTGTTGTTTCCCCATGTTAGCTAGGCTGGTCTCGAACTTCTGATCTCAAGTGATCCTCCCGCCTCGGCCTCCCAAAGTGCTGGGATTACAGGTGTGAGCCACCGCATCCAGCCCTGACAAGTTTTAATCTTAAAACTTCGGTGGATATACAACTTGTTAGTTGCCTCAAAAATATTTGCTAGGGTTTTGATTAGGCTTGCATTGAATCTTTAATTTGGGGAGAATTGATACTCCACTCTGGGGGTTTTTACCTCTCTGGTAAGACCTTTATTCTTAGCAATGTTACGGTTTTCAGTATAGCATCTTTTTTTTGAAATGGAGTCTCCCTTCATCACCCAGGCTCGAGTGCAATGGCATGATCCCAACTCCCTGCAACCTCCGCCCCCCAGGTTCAAGCAGTTCTCCTGCCTCAGCCCCTGGAGTAGCTGGGATGACAGGTGTCCGCCACCATGCCCAGCTATTTTTTGTATTTTTAGTAGAGACAGGGTTTCACCATGTTGGCCAGGCTGGTCTCCAACTCCTGACCTCAGGTGATTGACCGTCTGGGCCTCCCCAGGTGCTGGGATTACAGGCGTGAGCCGCCACGCCCGGGCTGCTTCTTCATTTTCTAAATTTGTGCTGGCTAGTCCAGTGCAGGCGTGGAAAGATGTACTGTTGGAGGACATCCCTGTCTTGGTCTCAGACTTGGAAAAAGTGGCGTTTCCCCTGTTGAATAGGGTGTTGGCGGTGAGATTTCCGTGGATGCTCTGTCAGATGAAAGCTCCCTCTCTGTTCCTGGCAGCTGGCAGATGTTTTCATGAATGTGTGTTGAATTGTTTCAAATGCTCTTTGTGCATGGATTGAGATGGTCCTTTTCTCTTTTATTGTGCTAATGCAGTTCGTTACATAAACTGACTTCCTTTATTTTATTTATTTATTTTTGTGAGACGGAGTTTTGCTCTTGTTGCCCAGGCTGGAGTGCGGCGGTGCTATCCCAGCTCACTGTGACCTCCGCCTCCTGGGTTCAAGCGATTCTCCCGCCTCGGCCTGCCGAGTAGCTGGGATTACAGGCATCCGCCGCCAGGCCCGGCTAATTCTGTATTTTTTGCTAGAGTTGAGGTTTCTCCATGTTGGCCAGTCTGGGCTCGAACTCCCAGCCTCAGATGATCCTCCTGCCTCGGCCTCCCAAAGTGCTGGGATTATAGGCGTGAGCCACTGTGCCTGGCCCATAAATGGATTTTTCAGACGTTAAATTAACTACGCATTGTGGAATAAACGCTGCCTGGTCGGGAAGTATTCTCTCTTGTGTTTGTGTGTCACATGCAATTCATTGGTGAATTGCCTACTTGCTAAAATTTGTTTGTAACCCCAGATCAATGCTGGCAACACCGTGGTGGTCAGTCGCCGGCGGATGTGTGGAGCGGCGGGGAAGGTGAACTGCCTGACTTGCACCTCTCAGCCGAGGTGGGATGATGCTTCTCTGCCTGTCTCAGCTCTCTCACTGAGTACTCCTTTCTCACGGTGTACTTCATGCCATTTCACATCTTTGTGCTCTATGTTGGCGATGTGACTGTTTAAAATGGCCCCTCAAGATAGTGCCAAGTTTCTGTCTAGTGTTCCTAAGTGGAAGAAGGCTACGGTGTGCCTTCCAGAGCCGCTCTCAGGGGTGAGCTCTTGTGCTGCTGGCTGTGAGTTCCGCGCTGATGAATCAGCAAGTAGATTGAATACGGCGGCAGTCCCCAGCCGTCTCTGGCACCAGGGACAGGTTTCCTGGACAACGGTTTTTCCACGGGTGGTGGGTGAGGGATGTGGTTCACAATGAACCCTTTCCGCCTCAGATCATCAGGCTTTAGCTTCTCATAAGGACCATGCGGCCTGGATCCCTCGCGGGTGACATTCACGCTCCTGTGAGAATCTGAGGCCACCGCCAACCTGGCGGGAGATGGCGCTCAGGCGGTGATGCTGGCTCACCCGCCGTGCGCCTCCCGCTGTGCGGCCTTCCTAAAGGCCGCGGACCAGCAGGTCGGGAGCCCCTGCAATCACGCATTTTTTAAAACTTAAATTTGGCTGGGTACAGTGGGTCATGCCTGTAATCCCAGCACTTAGGGAGGCCAAGGTGGGCTGATCCCTAGGTCAGGAGATCGAGAGCATCCTGGCCAACATGGTGAAACCCTGTGTCTGCTAAAAATACAAAAATTTTTTGGGCATGGTGGCGCATGCCTGTAATCCCAGCTGCTCGGGAGGCTGAGGCAGGAAAATCGCTTGAACCCGGGAGGCGGAGGCTGCGGTGAGCCGAGATCTCGCCACGGCACTCCAGCCTGGGCCACAGAGCAAGACTCTGTCTCAAAAAAATGTTAAACTTAAGTTGTTTTTTTCTTTTTTTTTTGGAGACAAAGTCTGGCTCTGTGGCCCTGGCTGGAGTGCCGTGGCGAGATCTCGGCTCACTGCAGCCTCCGCCTCCCAGGCTCAAGTGATTCCCATGCTACAGCCTCCCAAGTGGCTGGGACGACAGCTGCGCGTCCCCACACGCCGGCTAATTTTTTTTGTGTGTATGTTTTGTGGGGCCAGGTTTCACCTTGTTGCCCAGGCT